TTGATCCTACCGCTGAGTGGCAGATAGGATGGATAGATGTAGCATGGACTAGCATGCATATTCAGAGGTCAGCGCATATTAACTGAGACAGATATTTAGAGTAATGGGCTTGAAGCAGTAATTTAGAGTACTTCTAAAGACTTAACCGTCAACAGCTCTGCTTTGCAATCAAACATGTATTCAGCATTTATTTCGGCGATAAAGACGCTTTGACTAATAATGCCTTCTGCTTTTTTTCTGCTTGCATCCTTCTCACTTAACTAACCTCTTCTGCATCAGGATCTCCTGGAAAACATGACCTCTATGATGCTGGTGGGTATATCATTTCACCCCTAAGTGTAGGGGTCTTACAAACCTATTGAGGAGAATTTGCCAGCTTGTCTGTTTCTGGGGCTAAATAGGTTATCTGCATCATTTTATGTAGCACTGTCAAATATTGGACAGTTTAACAGCCACATGTGAATTCTGACACAGTAAGCACTCCAACATAGGAGAAAGACACACAAACTGTAGTTTTGAGTCTTTTTCTAACGATTATGTCTTTGTGTCACTTAGTAGCTGTTTTCCTTTGGTGTCTTTTTTCCAGCTGCTCTGTGCATCTTCCTGTTTCTTTGTGTTTTTTGATGTTTTTTGCAGACATCTCAGATTTGTTTCTAGCCTTGTTTAAAGCCTTTCTTGCAGCAATTTAGCATCTCTGCGGTCACTTTGGGATGCAAATCTTTATGGTTATTTGTCTTCTCTAAGGTAGTCCTGTCTCTCTCTCAGACACAAATTCGTGTCTCTTTTGTAGTGAAATTCTGTTTTTGTGTATAGAGCCTTATTTTTGCAATTGTTCTCTTGTGTCTTTGTGGTCACTTGGTTACTTTTGTGTTGTCTTTGGATGTGTAGTGTTTGTGCTGTGTTTTGGGATTTCTTTAGAGTAATCCTAAATCTCAGTTGTCCTTTGACTATTTGTAGTAGGTTTTAGTAAAGAATATTTGCTTAAACACAAAGTCTATGACCTATTGGTCCCATTAGTAATCCTGTCATAGTACCAGCTGTAGAAGTAGCCAGGAAAGTAATTCCAGAACAGTGACTATAGGTATGAGTAGGAGCTTTAATATTGTGATCAGAAATAGAGGACCTTACTGGGAATTTCAAACTGTTTGTCTGGTGCACATAAAAGGTGTAGTGCTGTACAAAGAGTGGTTTATTATTGCATGTATGAAAAATCTCAATGTGAGACGGTCAATTTTCCAAACAGAACAATCTCCCGTATGTGTGATTTAATTTGTAGCAGCAGATGTTCATGTTGTTCTGGTCCATAGCAGGAAACACAGATACTCTGGATCCCAGAGCTCCCCTCAGGTTCCTGCAGTGATTCCCCTCCTCATTGTTTTTTTTCCTGTGGCAGAGCATTCAGAGAAGCTGGAGGAGTGCTTTCCATCAGACCAGTCCCCGCTGTCCTCTGGAGTGGACTCTGGACAGCAGTCTCCTGTCTCACCAGAGAACAGGAAGGGTCACAGAGGGATTAGGAAACTCTGGGGGAAGTATGTTTTAAGGATATACAGAGCACACACTTAACAGCATGTTTGGTGTCCTAACCTTTTTATATTTATACTCATGTTCTCATTTCTGTCTGCAAGGATCCGTCGCAGTCAGTCGGGTAGTCCTGTCCAAGTTCATGACCCAGAGCTAGGAGACTTCAAGAGGGGAGGATTCAGAGCTACAGCTGGACCTCGATTGGCCCGTCCAGGGAAAACACGGTATATTAATTAATAAAATATCTATATTAATAAAGTGAATAGGAGTGATTAGGTGCACGGTTCACTTTTTGGTGTTTTGTTCCTATGCAGAGATCTGAAGACACCATTTTCTAAGTGGAACACAGAGCAGGTGTGTGACTGGATTGAAGACATTGGACTAGGTCAGTACAGCATCCTCGCTCGCCAGTGGGTCACCAGCGGTCAGACTCTGCTATCAGCCGCGCCACAAGACCTAGAGAAGGTATACACACTCAAACGCACACATCACTGCTTTATAGAGTGTGGTTCCTAAAGTGATGCTTCTAAGACAACCGGCACAAACAATCACACTGTGTTGGTTTTCCATACAGCGTGTCACATATTTTCAATTTCTACCTGTCTGATCATTGTTGCCGTCTGTCTGTTTGTTTGGTCTTTAGTAACGCCTGCCTCTGCCTTTCAACCAGCTCTTTAGTTTCGCCTTCAACACTGTCACATCATACACCTCATCTCCACCTCCAACCTTTCTCTGCGTCTCATCCAGATCATTTTGATCAGTTCTGTTTCTTTCTTCAGGTTAATCTATATTGATACTGGGATCCATGGAAACTGTCAAACCTTGGATCGCCGTATCAGGAGTTTCTGTTTTTCTTTTTAAATACCTGACCTTATATATCCTTCTGCTAGGAGTACACAACTGTTTGTTTATTTATCTACTGTGTTTAACATGGTTTTTGACCATTTTGTTATTTTTCTTTAAGTTGTTCTTCATTAAATTCTTCATCTTTTTAATAGAAAGTGGGTCTTTGAATATACTTTTCAGGTTTGTCCTTTATGGTATGCGGCTTGCAGTATTTCTTTAAATTTAGGTGCAACCAGAACTTGAATGGCTTTTATTACTAAAAGGTTAGTTTAATCATTTAAATTCAATGAAATTACCATCAGATAGTCAGATTGAAAGATAGGGCGAGAAGTTCAGCCATCCGGGAGGGGCTCAGAGTAGAGCTGCTGCTCCTCCACATCCAAAGGAGCCAGTTGAGGTGGTTCGGGCATCTGACAAGTATGCCTCCTGGGCACCCCCTGGGTGTACTGGGAATACCTTGATGTTCCCCCAGGCAAGCTAGAGGAGGTGGCTGGGGAGAGGAAGGTCTGGGCTTCTCTGCTTAGGCTCCTGCCCCCGCGATCCGGCCACGGATAAGCGGAAGAAGATGGATGGATGGATGGATGGTCAGATTGTCAGTCATTTCATCAATGATTGAATTAATATTTTGCAGGTTTACTAATTTATGGGTGGTCCACATTATCTGCCAATTTAACCACTTTTGCAGTAGAAGAAGCTACTTCAAGCTGTTGCTTTATTCACAAAGGGTTGCTGCAGCACGGGCAGCACGGTGGCACGTCATAGGCACTGTTGCCTCACAGCAAGAAGGTCCTGAGTTCAATTCCACCATCTTTCTGTGTGGAGTTTGCATGTTCTCCCTGTGCGTGGTTTCCTCCCACAGTCCAAAACACAGGAGTAAATGTGAGAGCAAATGGTGTCCCTGTGTGCTAGCCCCGAGACAGACTGGCAACCAGGGTATATCTCGCCCTATGACAGCTGAGATAGGCTCCAGCACCCCCCCACCACCCTGAAAAGGATGAGCGAATGGATGGTTGCTGCTGTTGCAGCAGCTCTGCAAGTTATATTTGGCAGATTTGTTTTATGTTGGATGCTTTTCCTGACGAGAACCTAAAGGGATTTGCGTCTCCTCCCATGATCTGACCAGGGATTTTTCACTTGTTCGATGAATGTATACTAAAATATTTTTAAACAATAATTTCACAGATAGGAGACTTTGGAGAATTTGGAAAACTCTTTCATGTTTTGCCTGTTATTGGAGTTATTTCAGCATCATTCCACATTCGACTATGAGGGTCGATTACAAAAAAAAAAGGTCCGCCGTTCATTACAGCACTTCACTATGCAGACGATGCACTGATGCTACAGTAATGCTACAACCTTTGATGATCGTACACGCTAAAAATGGATGTCATTAGACTTTACGAAGAGATAGCAGAGGTTCTGTTGTTCAGACCTTCTCCCCACTCTTGATGGCATGGGAGTTGTAGCATTTTGCCATACTACTTGGCGACTACTGCAATAGTTGAGTGTAAGCAAGTCTTTGATTTCACATCTGCAGCTGCTCCAGAACATCGCTGCCTAGCCACATAAAATCATGAAGGACCTTTACGACAGGACCCTTGCTGTCGCTTTTAAACTGTGGTTTACCTGTTCACATCAGAACCTAATCAACACTGGAAATGTTTTAAAATCCATTCAAAACACTGGCTTTTAATCTAAGCCTCAACATTTGCTTTTATTTATTTGTAAGATTTTATTAATTTTGATATTCGAAAGAGTGTTTTTCTTTTTTGGTAGTACAGCACTTTGACCAATGTTGCTTTTAAATCTGGTTGACTTGACTAAACTGTAACAGGAGGAAAAAGCCAATCGTTTCTCTTTGTCCACAGGAGATGGCCATGAAGAATCCACTCCACAGGAAGAAGCTTCAGTTGTCCATCAAAGCGATCAGTAGCAAACAGCCTGAAAAATCTGCAGAGCTCGATTACCTCTGGGTTACCCGTATGTAAAGGATTCTTTCTCTCACATACGCACAGACACACATATGGGAAAATCTCCGAGAAAACAGTTATGTTCTTTGTTCCAGGTTGGCTTGATGATATTGGCCTTCCTCAGTACAAAGACCAGTTTAATGAAGGAAGAGTGGATGGGCAGATGCTGCAGTATCTCACTGTGGTGAGTTTGTAACTAATCAATTCATGTGAAGTTAAATCAGCGTTACCATATGGGGGGAATGAGCTTTCAGTTGCCCAAAAATAAAAGGGATGTATGACATGTTTCCCTTCTTGTATCTGTCTCTGCTCTCCATGTTAGAACGACTTATTATTCCTTAAAGTGACCAGCCAGCTGCACCACCTCAGCATCAAGTGTGCCATTCATGTTCTCCATGTCAACAAATTCAATCCCAACTGCCTCAAACGCAGGCCCGGCAATGAGGTATTGTTAACTCATTTATACGGCAAAGTACAAAGATGGCAAAAGAGCCATTAGTGAGTGAACTCTTAAATTAAAACTTCAAATCAGATCCACTGTCTTCTTCTTTGTAAGTTCTTTTTGTACATTGTATTTGTACCTCACGCATTTTTCATAAAGACTCCATCCATGAAAGTCAAAAACTCGATCACCCGTTCAAGGTCATCGCTTGTGGAAGTCCTTGTTCTGACTACCTGTATGTGTGTGTGGCATCACATGGTGTCACATCAGAGTTAGCTAAGTTCATAGATTCCTGCTCACAGATGCACATGTTGGTGGTCAGAATGGGACATCCACTTGTGCCACATTTGCACATGCAGACTGAGTACAGTTTATATAACTATGTTGGTTTGTATTTGTTTAATCAGTTCATGCAAACAAAATTTGCCAGAAAACATCACTTTGTAAGGCTGGGAAACTGTTAAAAAGTCAAACTAGAACAAAAAATACATTCATTTGTGTGTGTTACAGAGCCAGTTCACTCCCAGTGAGGTTGTCCAGTGGTCTAACCACCGAGTCATGGAGTGGTTGAGATCTGTGGACCTTGCAGAGTATGCCCCAAACCTGAGGGGCAGCGGCGTGCATGGAGGGCTGGTAGTGAGTACATAAAAGCAGCCGGCATCTGGAGCAAAATGGAAAACAAGAATTTAAAAAGCATCTGACATAATTTCTCCTCAAATAGATGCTGGAGCCTCGGTTTAACTCTGATAGCCTGGCCATGCTGCTGAACATCCCTCCTCAGAAAACTCTGCTGAGGCGCCACTTAACCACCAACTTCAACAACCTAGTAGGAGCACAGGCTCAGCAGGAGAAGAGGGAGTACACTGAGGCGACAGGATACTCCCCACTCAGCATCACCGCTAAAGTCAAGGTAAGAAAATATAAGAAAAGACTCAATTATAAAGCTGAGAGTAGCACAGGCAGTAGGTAAAATAAGGCATCATAAGAGACCAGTTAACACCTTCCCTCTCCCTGCAAGTGTGAGAAAAGCGCCTTAATCCACGGTGAGACCTCAGTGTGTCAGCTCGGTTTAAGCTCTTCCAAAAGTTTAAGCCAGTGAGAACTGCTCTGCTGCTCCTCACATCTTTAAGACTCAGCAATCAGCCACAGCGTCAGCTCAAAGTGCCTCTTGAAGAAAATAATTAAGTAATAATAGAAGAATAATTCATCATAAGAGAATTTACGCTTGCATTTGATCCACTTATGATCTTGGACACTTAGATCTTAAATTTCTTAAGCTACATCTAATGCAGGAAATATGTATGCGGATGTTTATGTGGAGGTACATAATACTGTGGATGGGAAAAAAATCCCAAAACGAAATTGTTATTGTTATGTTAGATTTTCCCCTCAAGATGAGCCAGCTATGAAGTAAAATCCAGCAGTGCTTTGTGACGATATCACAGATGTTAGAGGACACATTTGATGAATGTTGTTGTGTGTCGCTGCCCGGTGTCCCTCATTCACATCTACTAAACACAAAAAAGAGCAGATGTTAGGGAAATCCATACAGATGTGATTACAGGAAATGGAACAAAACTGAGCACAGCATCGTTTTGATCTCAGTGTCAGCCTGCATTTCAGAAATAGCGTTTTAGCTGCAAGCTCCTTTGCAGCCCACTGCAATGCCAGCTTCCCTTTCATGCTGCTCTGGTCTTTTCACTTGGCAGTAATACCAGTGCAGTGTATCAGTTGAATTACAAGTATTCAAGAAATTCAGTGCATCTCAAGTTTCCAAGGTGTGATCAAAAGAACCAGGGAACCAAAAACCCTATTACCTGATTTAAATCTGATCAAGGAAGCTCTCAGAGTTGTTTGTCCTTGCTGTAGTTTTTGTGCATAGGACTGGGAGTCCACCCCTTTGTAGTGTTGGTGTTAAGATCTCCAGTTTGCATCTGAATAACTTGTAACAATAACATTTAATCTACAACATCTAAGGAATCTCCTTTTAGCTCTGTTTTGGTCTCCATATAGTCCTCAACAGGCGGCTGCATCTTCCATAAAGTTCAGCTGCTAGTCACAACATCTGTTTGTGGTTTGATGCTTGACACGCGACGTGCAGTTTTATCAAAGATTTAGTTGCCTGCAGCTGTTAATGATGGCAAATCAGTAAAGAAAATCACATCAGTGAGTTGGGTAATCATTCTTATTGACATTGTTGATGTAGGAGTAGTGATCGGCACGCTTTAAACGTGTTGCTTCTTGTTGTAGAGCCTATCATTAGTCACATTGTTCTAACATTAAAAGTCTTCTCAGCAGTCACTGTTGCTTTGTTGAAGCGTGACAGCATGACGATGCTTTTGTTCCTGTTTCACTGCAGCCGAAGAAGTTGGGCTTCTCTAACTTGACTCACCTCAGGAGGAGACGGCCGGATGAATCTACAGACTATGTCTGCCCCATCGAGTCCTCCTCGCCTCAGTCGGGACAGTCTGCAGTGAACGGGGTGCAGATGCGGCCCTACACTGGCTTCAGAGGCCTGAGCCCCATCCTAGACCGAGAGCCCGACCGCTCCAGGGACCAGGTGGGGCTAGAAGATAGCGGAGCCGACCCATCTCCATGGCAACAACTGTAACGCCAACAACACGGATGACTGTTGTCATCCTGTCTATTAGCCATTCAGCTATCTCTGCTACTACTCTGCTTCCTTTGCTTGCAGCCCATAATACCTCAGTCCATCCCCTGATATGCTTCTTTAAGCCCCGCCCATCAGCCCGACCCTGTGCCTTACATTTAGAGATTGTTTCTCAGTCAGCTGCTTGTCACGCTGCAGGGAGTCCTGAGACGAGCACAATTCAAGTATTTTGATTTCAGCTCCGGTCAGATGCCTAACTAACCCAACCTCAGCCTCAAACCTGTGCCATGACTCTAACTCATCACGAGAGAACACAGCCTCTCTCTGGATTCCTGTGACATCACTTCCTGTAATCCATACAGCATATACAGACATGTCTTCTTGTACAGTATTAAGCCAACATGTGTGCACCACCAGTAGATTATTTTTTATGTGTGACCTTTGATTTTTCTAACCAGGTTGAATGCAGTTCTGTTACATGGTCGAGATGAACTTGTGCAATATTGACATAAAATAATGGAGGGATTTTATTTATATCATTGCAGAGAAAATCATAAAATAGCATGTTTTGCTTGAAACTTGAGGTGGTGATTTTTGTACCGTTATTTTTCATATTTGACTGTAATAGTATTTTTATAGCAAAGAAAGGAAGCTAACGTGTGGTTTATCAAATCATTTAATAAACAAAATCCGACATGAGCAAAGTTGATTCGTTCTTTCTGATGATCAGAGTAGAAGCAGATGTGTAAAATGTTCAATGTCCTTTATTTATTTAGTTTTTAGTTGTACATCGTTATAGGGGCCTGTACTGGACATTTTCAGTGTTTCCCACAGAGGTAGATTGCACGTGCAAAAGGAGGAACATTCATGCTGTCTTAACTTATAAGAGCCATAAATTGTTGCCATTAAAGTCAATTTCTCATTCTATGTAAGGACTCAAAATTTACCGCATGTAGTGACTCCAGCTCTTGTTCTGCTCTGTAACATCATCAGTTCACAAAGTGATATTTGGCATTTCTGGCTTGCTGCATATAACTGCAGTAAGTTCAGGTTAGTAACCAGAACCAGCTGTCCCTCTGCTTCAACTTCCAGTTGACAGCAGTTTGCCAGTTTAGAACAGGGATTACCTTTACCAGCAGTCCAAGGTGGTAGAGTTGGAATCTGTTCACCGCGGGAACAAGAGACTGACTGGAGAATAGCTCAGTGACATCAAGACAGCAACAACAGTGACCCGGCTACCCTGCCAATGTCAAAGCATGCTGCTTGTTAATGTGATTGAACTCGCAAACTAAGAGTTAGGTGACTTCATGTGGAAAACACTGAATTCCTCAGGAAGCATATTCTGTATTTCTGTAAGATAAAGTAACAGACTACGCTGCTGTGCGGAGCCACGAGCAGCAGCATGCCTTAATAACCTACATCAAGCACTAACCTGCTTCCATCATCATCATCATCATCATCTCCATTCTCACCATCACAGTGGCTGTCATTGCTGTTTATGACGCCACGTTTCCCCCCTTCGGCTGAGCGGTCTGAGCCAAGATGGCTGATGATCATCACCATGGTAACCCTGTTAAAGGTGACATGGGAAGTGCATGTTTGACTATGACTCAGCTGCAGGTACAATCCTCATTATCAGTGATCTGTTGCACGTTTTCATATCTTTCTACGGTAATTTTAAAAGGTTTAAGAAACATATTGTTTTGATGATAGTAAGCCTGTAATTGTGAGTTGTAATGAGTTTATAAGGAATCTGTGTGTGTGCGTGTGTGTTGCAGATGGCGACCACAGAGGGTACCATTTTGCAAATAGAAGCTCTTTCTGAAAGCATCAACAACCTCACAGTAAGCGCCAACACACACAAGCTGCTGCCTAATGACTTGCGCAGCTGATTCGCTCACTGGGAATCTGCTTGTAGTCTGCTGTAAGAGAAGTTTGAGTCACTCAGATGGAAAACTGCAGATACTCAGATGGAAATGCCATTAAAACACCACGTCTTGTGTCTGTGTACAAATTAAAGCAATGCTGCTAGTGTGAAACCTGCTCGCTGGTACTTGCTTCTTTATTACTTGCGGCTATCATCCAGATGCCAGGCTTGGTTCTTTAGCATTTGTTCTGTTCGTTCAAGTCAAGAAAATCATGACAGTAACTGAAGTCTGAGATGTTTGATAACACGTTTGCAGCGTCAGTACATCAGTGAAGATCTTGGTAAAAAAAGAAATTTGAGCATTATTCATATCTTTTTATTATTTGAAGTTAAATTTTAAGTCCAAGAATCTGCAGGAGTTACATCAGAACAAGGAAGGGCGAATTTAAACCTCAGATTTATTATTTGAAATAATCACAGTAATTAGAATCAACAAGCTTCCATGGCACTAGAGAGCAGAGAGACGATAACCAAGGCATACTTTTTTTCACAGCAGACCTTTTAAGATGTCATAGAATGAAAAGCACAGTCTTTTTACAAACATTAATAATGTTCATATTTGCTAAGGTGAGTTAGTGTCACACATTCAAGGTAGCCATGTCTGAGGATTTCCTACAGATTCATCTTCATGTTGGGCATCTTCATTTTATAAATTCCACCTATGCTTCTCCTTTGTGACATGTCATAAAACAATCTCACATCGGATCTGATGTTCTCATTTCAGTAAAGTATACTGACCCCAGCTCAGAAGCAAACACTAACTTCTAATCTCTCTAACCCATTGCCACTCCCATGATGCTCTGCCCCCAGTATCTGCTCAGCCGAGATGAGCTGCGGAAGGAGATGAGGCGTTCACAGACGGCGCTAGTTTGAAGGACGATGACCCTAAGCTGTAGGCTGTCAATCAACCACAAAGACCTGTAGCGACCTGTCTCACAGCTGAATTGTACCTCAGCCCTCAAGCTAACACTGCAGCGTGGAGCTCCTTGTATTTACTTCTACTAGCCCCTGATACCTCAAGTTAACTCCTGCACAGAGGACTGGGAAACACAAACGGACCTACACATTTTGACAACAATCAAAGGTCTTATTTTTATTTTCTAATGTGCTGAATTGAACAGTTATTTATACACTTTTTTTTGTTACTGCTTTCCTTAATTCCCTATGCAATGTAGCTTTTAATGAGCATACTGACCACTGTGTACTGTAAATACTGTGCTGGTATTTCATTGGGGAGGACTGTGCAAAGCAGTGAACATGCAGTTTAGAATGGACAAACTGGACATTCCATCAAAAATGGTGTTGAAGCCATTTTTAAGAGCAGAGCAGCCAAAGAAGAAGGAGCTGGTTCCTCGACATTGTCATTCTATTGTTCTGCAGAGAAAGATGCTACATATCATATGTTGAAATAAAGAAGTTACAAGAACTACCAATGCTTCCTAAATGACTGTATGGAACAAAAAATTGTTGAAACTCCTCTTTTGCCTCAAAGTAGTACTGGCCATGATAGAGCACTACCCCTCCCTGAGCTTGGTCCTGCTGAAGGTCTCTTCCTGTTAAAAGGAAGTTCTTTTTCCCCACCTTCACTCAGAGCTTGCTCTAAGTGAGTTGTGTGTTGTCTGATCGTGGGGTTAAGCTAAATACCTCAAGACCCATACTTTTGTGAACAGGAGCTATATAATTAAAATTTAATGAAAACGAACAAGCTGCATTATTGCAATCATGAAACATAACTTTTTTAATTTACTACAATATAAATTAGATGGACAAAATATTAAATTATTGTTGTTTGACTCCATTAATCCTGAACATTTGGATACTACATCCAGCTTTGCAGTTTGGCTAAAGAGGACACCCATCATGAATTTAATTTCATTCCCTAACTCAAGGGAATAAGTTTACGGGTAGAAATCAAAGATTGTGCACAGGAAAGAGAAGTCTGGTTGCTTGTAAAAGAATTTAATCCCACAGTGTTTTCAGCATACTAAAAGTGGCCAAAACCTGGACTTTGCTCTGAAACATCATATAAATTTATGTTTCTGTGGCTTTAATTTCTATGGCTATTCAGCTATTTTAACATGATCACAAAACTAACACCAGGATTTACTATGGTTCATTTAACCCTCTCCAGCTGTGATGTGAACACTTTACTAAATTTACTTTTACAAGTAACTTTTTAAAGCACATCCAAATATATGGTAGAAGTCTGGAACAGTAGGACAGTAGTTTGTGATATTCGGTTGACAAAAATCAAAGAAAAATGATAAGACTGGGTCCTCTAAACAGTTTTGTAGGATTTTGTAGTCCTACATTAACCTCTACTGGTCAAATCTGGGATTTCTCCACCTGTGAAACTTTTATCATTTCCTAAACTGACCTTGAGAGCCTCCACACTATAAGTTGCTGTCCCAGCCTACCTGTCCTCATTGCTGCTTCTTTCTAAAAGCAGACAGTTACACATTTTGTTTACCCGCCAACCCCTTCAGGCTCACCCCAGTCCTCAAGCTGCTGCACCAAGCTAACTGGTAAGATGAGTCTTTTGTTGACTTACCTAAAATTTGACAAGATGCAAACACCACACCCTTGCTGCCACTGTCAGCGGAAACTCTGCTTCAGCAGAAAATTCTCAGTATTCTGCTGGAAGTTCTCTACACATCAGGACACAAACAACCATAAAACACTCACACAGACTGTGTATCTCAGCAGGACGAGGGAGAAGAAGAAAGGAAATGTAGTGTATTTGGAACTGTGGAAGCTCCCAGACCAGTCCTGGTGAGTATCTGTACTGATTGACAATGCTCTTTCTGTTTATGTGCTGGTGGACCAGAAACTGATCAATATTTAATGTGGAAAGTAGTGTCAGAGTCAATTATGCTCTCAAATAAATGAACAGTGACACTAATTCCATGTACTGGGACAAAAGCAGAACAGACAGTGGGTTCTTTTGCTCCTCAAAAATGCAACTGATTTAAATATAAAGTGATAGCAGTCACACAGCAGTGCTTAAACGGTTGTGAAGCCTTTAAAATTTCTTCATTTCTCTGTATATATGACCTCAGAATTCATAAAAGTAGGTAAAGAAAACCAATTTAAGCAAATGGATCCAAAATATGGGTTGTCTGTTTACTGAGAAAACCATCCATTGTTACACATCTGTAAAAGGTTAACATTTGACCTCTGTTTAGAAAAAAATATGCAACTAAATCTAAGTTTAAACTTAGGAAGCCTGCACTTTCTCCAGGGCTGGTTTTTCACAAAACCAACACTGTCCTAAAGGTAATGGATGGACGTAGCTGCTGTGACGTCATTCACTGGTTTGAGGACCATATTTGGAAGAGAGAAGAGTGCTAAGTTATTGGCTAACACTAGCAGTCTTTGTTATGAACTAGAAGGCACTGACAGACACAGTCGTGAGGTCGTTTTTGAGGATTCTAATGAATAGAACCGAAGCCTAGCAGACTCCAACTGGATCCAGCTGCATGTGTCCGGACAGCTGTCAGAGTGACCATGCCACTAACTCAAGTATTCATGTGAAATATTTTATTTAAAAAAAAAAAAAATCTGAGGGAAACTATCCATAGAAGAGTCTCTGAGGGATGATTTGCTTTAGGAGTCAGCCTCAAGTGGTCATTGGAGGAACTGCAGTTTTTGGAATTTTCCACATGTAATGTTGGCTCATTTTTTCTCAAATGACCAACTCTGATATTTTTAATTTTTTTTAACTGGGGTTGTTTTCATCTATATTTAGGACTGATGTGAAAATCTGAGTATGTTTTTGCACCAGTATGTGCATTTCAGCTTAAATTTTACGCCAAAATCTGACCATTATCTTTCCAGTGTATCAGGGAGACCAGCTTGTGATCTGCTGCCCATCATCCGTCGACCATGGGTGCAAAATTCAGCAAACCTACATCTAACCCACTGAGAAACGTGTTTTCCTGTTTCAAATGTGGCCAATCCAGGCAACCATCCTTTTATCATAATATATCCCCCCAACCGAGCATCTTTGCTACACTAAAGAGGCGCAATGTCCCCAGGCCCAACGAGTTCATACATCTTTTCAGCAACTGCATCTCTGCTGCTACAGCCAGAACCCAAGAGTACCTCACCTTCAAGGATCCAGAGGACAAGTTACGCCCGAGTCCTGAGGTGCTCACTCAGGTAGCAACACTTATTGAACAAAATACGTCATCAATAACCAAGACATTTTGCTTTAGAGAAGTTACTGAAATATCTCACGCTTTAACAGGTCTTCCTGATGACCTACATCACTCGGAGTGTTGAGGTCGACCTGCAGGATACCCTTAACTGCACAGTCATGACTCCTGAGCAGCGCGTCCTCCTGGGTGCTGACTGGGTTTGGGCAGTGCTGGAGAGGCCGACCAAGAACCCCAAGTTCCAGATTGTCGTGCAGGTCCTGCACCTGTCTGAAAGGGAGGAGGCTGAACAGAAGGTCTCTATGGACACCTGCAGTGAATCCATCCAGATGGCCCAGATGGAGTCCAGCAACAATAACATGTACGAGAGAATGGTGAACTTCTGCACCTCCATCGGCAAGGACTGCTACGCTCTCTTCTTGTTTTTTGGGAAAAAAACCGACAAGGTGAATATCTACGGCGTCCTCAGCAATAATTTTGAGGCGGCCAAAGGAAAATGCAGGATCGACAGAGCTCTGATCGAGAACTTCTTTAAAGGTTTGAGGTATCTCCATACGCCTTTAGGAATGATGCAGGCAATTATGACCAAAAATAAAGGTGAACCCATCACTGTCATGATTAAATTCAGCTGAATCACAGTAAGACGAGCACGCTGAGCAACGTAGTTATGTTGTATCGAAGAGGTCAAAGGTCACAACACCACAAAAACAGGTCTGCATTCTATAAATATATCAGACTCTTATATATGATATATAAAAAAGAATTATATCATAAACATATAAGAAATTGAAACCTAATCCATTTGTAACAATATAAAAGGTATTCGAGCTGAACAGAAATACTCAGACCAGCCCTTCTGACACCAACAACTACGCCGCTCTTCCCCATTCTGATGCTCGGTTTGAACTTCAGCAGGTCGTCTTCACCATGTCTACATGCCTTACAGCAATCAGCTGCTGCCGTGTGATTGGCTGATTAGATATTTGTCTTAGCAAGCAGTTAACAGGTGTACCCAACAAAGTGGCCAATGGGTAACTGTATGTTTGCCGTTTGGAACAACCTGCCCGAGGAACTCCACTTAGCGCTTCCTGAAAATCTGTTTCACTTCTTTGGTGGTGCTTTCTGCATGTGGTTCTACTTTCCCCCCCTCATCTTACCTCTTTTCTCTTAATTCTATTATTAACTATTATTTCATTCATTATTGTTTGGAGTTCTCTCTTTTCATCTCATTTTAACTTTTACCTTTTTAATGCTGTTTTTGGAAAGCATTTTATAACGCTGATTTTGATAAGTGACATGCAAATAAACTCCTATTAGGTATTACAACAACTTCAGAGTCATGTTTTCAATCCTGGTGTTAGAGCTTAGTACAGCTTGACCAGTGGTTAAGCTACAGAAAGGGGCGGACACAGTAGATGTACTTACCCACTCAAAATGTTATCAAAGGAGACCACTAACATGTTCCACAGATCCATTTATTCTCTTCCCCTCATCCAGTTATGGGTTGCAGTGCGGCTGGAGCCCATTCCAGTGGTCACAGGGTGAGAGGCAGCCAACCAGTCACAACTACAGCCAATTAAGAATCACCAATTATCATAACATGCAGGTCTTTGGACTACGAGAACAAGCTGGAGCACCCAGGGAGAATCACAGGGCCTTAGCTGGCCGGTAGATTCAAACCCAGACCTTCTTACTGTGTGGCGATGGTGCTAACCACCGCACCACCACGCTGCCCACTCAATTACTAATGTAGTTTAGTGATTCAACAGAGTAATAACTACTCGAAACTGCAGTGACAGCTGTATGCACAACAACATAAAAAAATCTGCACTTGTTAAATATTTTAAGACAAAGTTTTTAGTTTAGATAAAGCACACAAGTATCCAATTTAAAGGCACATTTACACTCATCCAAGTTCCTCCATTACTAAACAGGTATAAAAAAAAAAAAAAAAACTCCCACAACAACAACATAAAACACATTTTAAAACATTAATGCTCACGTGATCACAGATTGTTTTTGAGATCGATCTCAAAATTTCTGACCGCTATGGTTTTATCATAAAATCCCTCTACTGTCCAAAATTAAAGTGGAATGCTGAACATTCATATGCCCTTAGGCATCAGGAACATTACGTTATCATCTTCACTCTTTAGATATCAGGAATGTTTTCACACAGAAAAAGAGACTCGAGTGCTTAAAGACTAAAGCCGGAGCCCGTCATAGTTCATCCTTCCCGTCCGTTACTTCTTTGTAGCTTTTACGCTCACATTTGCAGGCAGCAGTGTGGTCATCCAGCTGAGGCACCAGCTCCATGTCTGCGTGTCGTGTCGGCTGTCCCGTCTGTCGCTCTGAATACATGTGCAGCACTTTGTAGTAGTAACAGTACAGCCTGCTGGGCTGCAGCAGCTCTCTGGCCGCTGCCTGGCCTGCTCTGGCGATCTCTTGTGCTTCAGCGTCGTTCTCTTTAGCCCATCTGATCTTCTCCAGAAGGTCCGACAGGTTTCTCTTCACAGGAATGTAATGTGTTCCTGCCTTCAGGTGGCTGTAGAAATGTTCATAGTACTGAGAGTCCTGTTTCAGAACCAGACTGTTCCCGAGCATCAGGTAAGGAAACCGGTACGCTGCCACTGTTCCATCAATGTTCACCTGATATTTGTACTGCAAGAGGAAGACAAGGTGGCACGAGTTGCATACACACGTTATGGATGTATTAAATCTATTCATAAAGACGAGGCATCAAGGAGCTAAACTAAATCATTGTAGTGAAGTGAGTAACGTATGGATGTATATATTTATAATTATATTTATTAAAGAAAAGACTATTTTAAGCTTCCTTACCTTAAAGAAGTCAAAGAATCCAACAAGTGATGCTTTGCCAACGTGTTTCTCCTGGTCTCTAAAGAAGAACCACGCAGTGATGCCGGCATCAAGGAGCTCTGGGGTTTTTTTGGACAGTGATACAAGCTGAAGACGCTCCTCTCGACTGTCCCGACCCCGGAAAAACGCCCGCTCAGTTTTATTCACCCACGGAGGCCCTGATGGAAGTATATATTACCGAGTGGGAAGAAATGTCTACGTTTACATACAAATTCACAGATCATAACCATATTTCTCCTAAAGGTGTTGACTGCTTCATATATTATATTATATAACTTTACTCAGATTTCCTGAAAGTTAAATCTGAGTCAATAGATGTATGAAATCCATTAAAAAAAACACTTCCTTGTCATTTCTATCTTTAAAATGTTAACAAACAAGAGCAGAATGTGCAATTTAGAAAAAACAGTGACTTTAGATGAAAACGGCTTCTGACTCCAAAAATCTAATCTGTCGGCCGACATTGGGAATGTTGTGAGCAGAAAGAAGTGCCATCTTATATCTATCATTCATCACATGGACAAACGTATTGGCTCACACCTCTAAATCTTTGAATTCATCTGTTTTCAGTCCCACTGCAACAGCCTTGTGATATTTTTACAAAGAAGTGTTGCAAACTCAAAAACTCCACAGTCCTAAATCACCTCTGGAATCAACATCAAAACAGAAAGCGTGCTCTGGGAGGCTGATGACATGGCTCAGCAGCTCCTGTAGGTGTAATGTGTAGGTTTTGTTCATATAGTGTATAGAGCAGGGGTAGGCAACTCCAGGCCTCAAGTGCCCTGCTGGTTTTAGACGTGTCCTTGATCCAATACTGCAGATTCAAATTGCTAAAAGACCTCCTCAACATGTCTTGAAGTTCTCCAGAGGCCTGGTAATGACTTTTGATTCAGCTGTGTTGACTCAAGGTGATATCTAAAACCTGAAGGACACCTGCACTCGAGGTCTGCAGTTGCCTTCCCCTGGTATAGAGTCTATGGACTGTGGTGCCCTCTGGTGGACAGTTACAAAAACAAACCAAAGGAGAAACTGCCTTCATAACGTGACAACCACCCTCACAGATGGATTCTTTGGTTGGGATCTTTTGGATCTTCGTTAAACTAGCTGCAGCTAAACATACATACTTCTACAACAAGTTCAACCTCTATACTGCCTGAAGAAGAACAGCCCACTAAGTTGGATTATGTAGTTCAGGAAACCTTGCACACTGTAGATTTTTAAAAAAAGGTAGTGCTTTATGGCTCTTGAGAACATTTTGGGAAAATACAGCAGAGGCAGCACTTTCTTTCTTTTTTATTTTATTTTTGCTGAACGCTGGCAAGTTCAAAGCAATAAAAGGTCTTAAACTGCTACACAGTATTAAAAGCAATAAATCAATAAAAAGTACACCTCTGTGTAGAAGTACATCCCAACATAATTTACTCCTGCCAGTTGCAGTTTAAGTGCAATTTCCTTCAAACTCAAAGTTTTAACAACTTGTAGCACAGGCAGAAATATACGAATGATGATAACATAAACTGAGGGCTGTTTTGCTCAGGAGTATCAAAGTTACCTGTATTCCCTTGGACAGATAGGAGGTCATTAGTGACCCCTCTCAGTGTCTCCAGGGTGGAGTGTGTGACCTCATAGGTAGGGAGGACGATATCCCGTGTGTCTGTGGAGCCACACCACGATAAGATCGGAACAGCAGCCGACGTCTTCGTCTCTAGTGGCCAGTCACCCACATTGATGTAAAACTCCACATCAGGCACCCTCACCTGCAACAGAACATCGCTGTGTGACTGTAAAGACTTATATATATATATATATATATATATATATGCAACAGCATAGCATGGAAAAAACAGCAGAACAACTCTACCTTCCTCGTCAATGATAGCAAAATTTCATCAGAGAACATCTTGAAGTCTGTGTATTTTCCCAGCGTGCGCCGGTACACGTGGTTGTTGATGATGGCGTAGTGAATGAGCCCTCCTCTGTTGGAGAATCTGTGAGGCACTTCCTGCCTGAGATGCTGCAGGTCGATGGTGGGAAAAGACTTAAAGTCAGCTAGAATCTGTCGGTCATCGGCGGGACACTGCATGACGCTCTGCCAGACGGAGGCATCGGGCTCAGGACAGTCACAGTATTCATGATGCACTGGACCTGAGCATGGGAATGAGCCATCAGGGTTAGATACACTTATAAATGCAATGTGGAAGATGAGGAGTCACTGTCAACTTACTGAAAAAAACAAACCCCAAAATATCTGGAATAGTCGATGAAGTCTGTCAATGTTGATAAATCCAAAAAAAAACAAACAAGTTACTGGATGTAAAGCTGTGTTAAATCTAGCGTATGTATGTGCACTCACCCCCAAATGTGACTACAAAGCAGCACAAAGACAACACTTCTTTATGCCAATGCTATAGTTAGTGTTCTTCTGCTCTATACATATGAGCTGGCTGTAATGAGGAGGTGGAGCAGGTTATCTAAGGTTGGTGGTGAAACGTCTGGTTACTTGAGTCTGCATGTCAAAGTATAATTGGGCAACATACCAAACCCAAAGCTGCTCTCCAGCGTGTTCATCGCAGTGTGAGTGTTAAATAAAAAGCACTTACGTGTAGACAAAAGTGATTGCATGAACCAGTCTATTTAACATTTACCGCATTCTTTTTAAAATAATTTTAATAGCTCTGACAGTCACTCTGCTCTTAAGTCTTTACGCCTTCCTGTGCTTCAGTAAACATCAGTCTTCCATTAGTACAACATGAAGTAGACAGTGTGACTCGTGATGGAAGAGTTTAAGTATAAATGCTGCAGTTCTAGGATGAGTATTTTGAGGTCCCTTTCATATCTATCTTCATCATTCATTGTGTGGGTTACCCATGGAGTGGTGAGACTTTAGTTTGTGGCCACTCTTGGCTCTGTTATCAATCCTGACTTTATTTTTTGTGCAAAACACTGGCATCATAATTAAGAGCAATGCACTCTGGAGATAAACTTTGCATGTAAAACCAATTCGTCATTTTTATCCCGATTTCTCACCATTAAATTGATTTTTCACCTTCGTGTAAAGGATCTGAGGACAGAAGGTGATGCAACAGGTTTTCTGACTAACCTTGGATGGTGTAGGGTGAGCTAGCCACAGCAGCATCTCTGTAAGAGACCTGGATCTTCAGACCCTTGTGAGCAGTGCTGTAGAGCCGATACCTCAACAGGAAGGAGCCGTCTCCTCTGTCCAGAGGTGGAGGGACGTGGATACGGAGGTACTCATTCTTATCCAGTGAGCCGATCTTCACTTTAAACGTGTCTTTTCCTGAGCACCACATTCAAAAAGCATTTCAATGAACAGTTTGAGTGCTAACGCAAGTAACAGTTATGCATATTCGGCCGCTCGTGCACGTTTTCGTTAACATTAGCCCCCCAAAAACTTTAAACGTAGCTTGCTAGCCACCGGGTTGTAATAACAAAAGAATGCTGCAAAAACAGTTTAAGGTTAGCTTAAAAATACTGCAACAGGACTTTAGTGAGCTAATAATGTCGCGTTGGTGGTCATTTACCTGGAGACAGAGTCAGGTTTTCTCCTTTTGAATTCACTGCCTGAATAAAGAAGTAGCGGACTGGTAACACGGTGTCCGGGTTTAGCCCCGGACCCCATATCAGACACCTCTCTGGACTGATTCCTTCAGAGTCACAAACCGGGAAGCTTGTGCTTAGAAATACTAGTAAAATTACAAATCGGCTAATTAAACCACTCGGAAACGGCTCGACTACATCTACGTTCCGGTAACACGCCATACTCCAGCAGCTGGCACCAAGTAAACGTGTACAGTCACTAAATTTTAAGTGCAAAGTTTTGATAGAAACTCCTACTCCGACATGTTGGTGAAGACAACACGCCCACTGGTGATGGCCAGTGATGCCTTCACGGGAAGTTGGAAATTTTGGGGGTATACATATTGTGAACGCCCCCTACAGACATAAATACTCCACATTACTGATAAAAAAAAAAAGATCTTAACACCAATTAACCACTCCTTTGTTGTTTGTTCTTGTTTTTTAACCAACTTTGCAAAAATACTGCAGATAACAGCACCAGGATTAGTTATTGTCAGGGGTAAAGGAAGTCTTCAGATTTACTACATCAGAAAAAGTACTTATTATTGCATCTCATTTACAGGTAAAAGTTCAAGTTCTACTTGAGCAAAAGTACACAAGTACTGTCAGGCCAATATATTTGGCTGACCTGTGCTGCGTTCATTTCACAAATCCCTTTACTGTTGTAGCTGGTGGGGTACTGCTATTTATTTATTTATTTATTTGTATTGTTATTGTGAACAGTGAAGGTGAAAGATGAACGCTAACCTTTTTCCACTCCATAAGTTAATGTGAGGGTTCCTGATGGTTAGGGACAAATGCAATCGCACTGCAGGATGCTGTAAACGGCCCAAACCTCAGTCAGGAGAACAACTGAGAGAATCCATCCACAATACCAGGTTAGCCATTAATATACTGCTGCATGTAGTTACATTGTAAGGTTTTAAAAACTGAACTTTAAAATGAATAGTGGTAATAATAACCAAGAGAGACCGACAGTGATCATCGACTTTTTAGGGGCTTGTTGAGATTAAATAGAACAAGATACAAAGCGTTAAAACATGTTAAAATAACAACAGCCTTAATAAATGGCCTGTATTTATATAGCGCTTTACTAGTCCCTAAGGACCCCAAAGCGCTTTACATATCCAGTCATCCACACATTCACACACTGGTGATGGCAGCTAATTGTAGCCACAGCCACCCTGGGGCGCACTGACAGAGGCGAGGCTGCCGGACACTGGCGCCACCGGGCCCTCTGACCACCACCAGTAGCAACGGGTGAAGTGTCTTGCCCAAGGACACAACAACCGAGACTGTCCAAGCTCGAACCGGCAACCTTCCGATTACAAGGCGAACTCCCAACTCTTGAGCCACGATCGCCCATAAATAATAAACGCAGCTGCTAAATATTCTGAGGAGTACAACTCGGAATAGAAAGTAAAGACTTCTCTTTCGATCTCTATGAAATCTTTGCATTCAGTCCCATTAATCAGCAGGCTTATAATTAAATTTCTCTGCTGTCTACATTTCTCCAGCTTACTAAAATACGATGAATTTTTTTCACCCACCTCAATCCATTTGGCTCTTCATCTTATGAAAGCACCCTGGGCTTTCTCAAGGTAAAGATCATCTAATTTAGTCTGGTACTCCATCAATTTATTTTTTTGTTTTTTTTCCTGTTTTTCTGTTTGGTTTTTCTTTACTACAGCACTGAGTTATTTCTCGAAGTAAATTACTTTCATATTCTCATTTTTCCACATTCAGTTATTTGCAGAATTTTATAGTAAATTCTTTGATCTTGAATTGAACAAATTCCAATTTCTGTATAATACACGCTATTGATTCCTTATTTTCAGTATCTCTGATTATATGTCTAATTTTATCACAATATTTATCCCTATTTAAAAGGCTGGCATTGAATTCCCAATATTAATATCCCCTGCTACTAAGTTTCTTCCTTGTTGGTTTTGGCTTTGGAGATTTTAGATTGTGAGGTACACCAAAAAATGGCATCGCTCACCAACCAATAATCAATTCCTGACCTGCTTTCTCCATTAGGTTTAAACCACGAATATTTCTTAACTCCAGGATTCATACATCTCCAAATGTCTGTGAAATTATTATCACAAGCAAAGTTCTCAATAATGTTATTCTGCTGCCTCCTTCCTAAGCGAGGCGCCCATCTGTCCATCCATTCATCTGGTGTCACGTTCCCATCGCCTCCAACGACAGTATAATCTGTGGGGTACATAACTTTAACTCTGAAATCACTTTTGTTAAATTTTCCAACAGACTTTTATTTTGACCCTGATTATTTATGTCCATAAAGCCTTGTGACAATAAGGAATAAACCTTCACATTTCAACACTACAGTTAACCAGTGGCCCTCTCTGTCAGCTTTGTAAGTTATAATTTGCCCTGGGAATTTATTAAAACAAATCGCCACACCTCCAGATGGATTAGATCCATGGCTGAAAAGAATCTGGTCTCCCCACCGATTAGTCCAAAATGTAACATCAGCATCTACAGAGTGAGTGTCTTGTAGAAATAAAGAGTGACATTTTTGCCCCTTGCAAAATAAAAGAGTGCATTTTTTCTTAACAAGGTCCTTCAAACCCTGAATGTTTAATGAACTAAATATAATTTGTGAGTGAACCATAACAAGAAAAAATGAAATGAAAAAAATAAAGAGGTATGAGTTTAACCCATAACTCTTGTCACCCACTCAGTGACTAGTAACCTCTCATTTTCAGCCGAGCTCTGTTGTCCCATTAATAATAATCCACCGTATAACAGTCTGAGCCTTTCATTTAGCGTCGCCAATCCTCCGTCCTTCAATGTATCCACGAGGACCTGTGAAAAATGCATGGATGGATGGTTTCCTGTTCAATCTATTTGAAGAAAATAATCAGATTTTTAAAAACTTATATGGTAAGTACATTTGCAATAAAAATTTTAAAAAGTGATGTGAATAAACTGTGAATACATTTTAATTTTCACATTTTTAACAAAAGCAGACGTTTGCATATTGCTTCAGCTGCATGTTATGTTCTGCACTTTTTCTGTTCACCTTTGCTCACTGATTAGCACTTGAGGAATTAAGTGGTAATGTGAAGAATAACAAAAACACTAATGCAGCATGATGTATACACAAAATCAACACTTGTTTTTCGTCTTTATTTTGCATCTTTTACACGTGGTAGTGTCACTGATATCAAAACTCACACATTACCTGAATGAAATACAGAAAATTACAAACAGGTCATTTAAATGAGAGTCATTTGTGATTTTGAATGGAAGGAACATCTGCAGCGACTGCTAAACGACGAGATACTAGTATGTAAAGATGTTTTCCGTTCTGTGTCCCAGCTTTTCCAGATTTGGCAGACAGGCATTCTGGATCATAGGCGCAGGGCCGCAGAGGACGATGAGGACATCGTTGGATGCAGCGGGGAGGTGGTCCTTGATCATGTCATAGGTCACAAATCCTGAGCTGTAGCTCCAGTCTGGAGAATAAGATCAAAGAACCACAAAGCTGAATTTTCACCAGTATGTGCACAATTCGGATCGTGTTTTTAGCACAGGCTTACTGAAATGTGAAAGCGTTTCAGTCGTGCATGATGTCAGAGGGTTTATTGTACCAAACAGCCACAAGAAAAAACTGTACAGCCGATCTATATATGGCTTATTCAACATAGAAGCATGTCTTTTATTCTGCTTTTTACTCCTTCTCTAAACGCTGAATATTAAACACTTCTTCTTTCTCTCATTTTGAATCTGTCTCTGTCCTCAAGGCCTCAGAGAAAGGAAGGGAGGCCTTTTGGTGAAAGGCAGGCAGAACTAAAAGACAACCTCCATTAACAGATAAAACAGGAGACATTCAAAGAAAGATGACACTGTCTGCTGCGGTTTTTGGTAAGACGAAGATTTTAGTGTCAATGAAGCCATTTGCTGAAGAGGCTTGTTCAACAACAGTCATCTCTCCATCAAAGGCCAGCAAATAATGGCACTGCTAATGAAGAGCTCTTCAAATAAATAATGATCAAGGGCTGATGTGTCCCCTTTCTGAGGGGAGCTAATGAAGACGTGACACGACAAAATAAAAGGTCTCCACAACAGAGATTATGTAACAATAATATGCTTGTTAATTCAAGCTGGCTTTAAGGATTATACGAGAGAAAACGGGAATGTTTTGCTAAGCTACTGTAACACCTTGTGGGAAGTATCTCCCTCCTCAGCCCGCAGGGATTTTCCTTCAGCTGAGGCGTCTTTGTTTGGTGTCAGCAGTGAAACCAAACGCCTGAGTATCAAGATTTATCCTGCTGCATGTAGCCTGGAGAGTCTCTAATACTCACATACAGGCCTGCCGTATATCCTGTGTGGTAAAATGATCAAATTAGTCACAGAAAATGTTTCTCAGCATCAACTTGAATGTAGTTACAAAGTTATAAAGCCACTGTAGGCCTTGATTTGTATGTATGTTTGGATGCTGTCTGGCCAATATGTTTGGAAATGTTACAAGTATCAGTTTGAAGTCACTATTGGTCATTTTTAACAATAAAGGTTTTCCTTAATGGATAATCTGTGTAAGGCTGTGGTCACAGCAATTTTATCATGTCTAAGCATTTTAAGCTTCATCTGGGGCTCCAAAAGGTTAGGGTTAAGGTCAGGGTCAGCTTGTTCATGCGACCTGCATCTCAGTCTGTTCTCTAAAACCTAAAAGAGGAATTATGGATTGGATCAACTGGTCCCTAAATGCAATTGACACCCCTTTCTCAACGAGAAGTTTGGGCTTGGGTGAGCCTGAGTGCTCCGGATCCAACGCCACCTCCAACGCTTACCTCCCCTCTGATGTGGACATCGGGTCAGTTGGAGGCGCAGTCGAAAGATTGCAGCGGTCCCAGTTGCTTGTCTGTGTTTATTGTGCTATGGTGTGTTGATATCTTTGCATTCCTGTATTATCCTTTTGTGTTACACATTTCAATGTTTTTTTCCTCACTACCTAGCCTGACCTGTCTCCCCAATGTGATGTTTGTGTATTGTATGTACGGTCGGCAAGGTCTGTCATCTCGGTTGTGGGCAAAAGACCTGCAACTGACATCTCATCATCATCTTCTTCATTTGCTATTTCCTGATATCAGGCGTATTTTTAAAGCCAAGAAAATATTACTCATATCTGGTTTACTTCACAAGAAAAAGGGAAAAATACTAGCAATGATTTATCTTCATTCCCTGTTGGTTTTCTAAGACAACAATCTTCAGAGTAACATAAATAGAAATGAATTGAAAGACTAGGTGAAGATAAGAAGGTCCATATTCACATATATTCATAAAACAAATGGTGAAACTCATTATGGATTTACAAACATCTTCCTTTTTTTTCGCAGAACTTCTTCTGTACAACTCGTGCACTCACACATCACAGGTGAGTCACACAGGTGCACTGCTACACGGCAGTCACGAGGGAGGGAGTAAAAAACAACACTGGCTGGGAATTTGCAACACAAAGGAAGTGTTGTCTCTGCAGACGGAGCAGCATGAGAATTTTGTCAGAGTTGTGCTTCTAAGCACCTGATGAACTGAAGCTGCCAACTTGACCCCATTCATATGCAGACTGATATCGACTTGACTCCATCTTGTGGCAACATTTATGGCAGGTTTTAGAGCCAGTGTTGGTAAGCGTGGGGAAAAACAATCCATACAGAATAATATTGGAATATTCTGCGTGGTGATTATGATATTTGCAATATATTACTTGAACTGTCTCACCTGACAAACATTCAGTATTTGAACACACCCAGCTTTTCCCTTCTACCTGAGAGCTCATGGTTGATGGTTCAGTCACACAAGGAAAAATAGGACAGCAGCCTCTTTGCAACTGAAAAATATCATCGGCTGCCTGCGTTTGTCGTACTGAATTATTTCACATTCTGTGAGCGATTGCAACTTGTGGTGACTAAATAGTTCCCCTTAAGGATGTTGCACATCCACAGCTGCTTTTGATTGCACAAGTTGCCTGATAGGAAGAAACATTTCTGCAAACAGTCGGCGTCTGACTTTGACTGCAATCATTTTCTCAGAGATTGTTGAAGGTTTGCAAATAGTTGATGTCTAGTTATAAATGCAGACAAATTACCAACAAGTTGTCAGCAGTCTGAGTCTTTGTCAGTGAGCACAGATCAACAGGATTTGAATCTGGTTGTATTCTGGTTAATTTACTATAGCACGGTTAAAATTGAACTTCTATGAAATGGGAATTTCTGTCTATGCAGACTCCAACAGATATGTGATTTTTGCTGATTTATCACACTTAGTTGCTGTATTATCAGAAACTCCGATTCAGGCTGATATTAGTCTGGCAACATTTATAGTCTGGCAGGTTTTAGCGACAGTGCTGGTATGCTTGATAATCACATTTTGCAGCAAAAATAAATGATTAAAGAAATAACTGTAGTGATATAGCTTTATCTTATTGAATATACCGTTTTATATATGCATTAAGTGTATTGTAATCGTGGAAGCATTTGTCTCAATGCTGCTTTTTTCCACATTCAGACTATGAATTAGTGCTTAAACTGAGCCCTCCCACTCTATTCTGGAGTGAACATTACACAGAGTGAATTTTAGATCCATAGATGAAGACATTTCCTCTTACTCTGTGGAGGTTTGTCCAGTGTGAACCACAGCTGAAGTCTCTCAGGATGGTTCTTCTTCACCTCCTCCAGCTCCTCCCTCAGTAAGATGTCTTTCTCAGTCTAAGATAAAGTAAAACCCAGTAAAGCGGTTTGACCACAACACTTTCCCTTTATATGCAGTTATAGAATTCAACTGAGACAACGCAATATCCCGCACACAGCTGACCTGGTTGGCGAATATGAGAGAGCACTTGGTGTTGTCAGTGGAGTCTGATGAGATACTGCGAATTAACTGCAGCATAGGAGTGATACCTGGGAGGGTGAAAGACACCGGAGTTAGTCTCAGAGGTGAAATACAGACTTTTCTCATTTTTCCAGTGAACTGAATGTGTCAGCAGTGCAAAGCAAATATCAAAACTTTCTAAAAGTTAAAGCATGTCACAGATTTGAGGACCACACGAGCAGAACAGCTCTTTTCAAACGCTCTGTATTACAACCCAGTCGTCTAAAACACACTAAAATAATAACATGATGCAGTAAAGCACTTGAAAAGTGTGATTACACGCAGGCCTTAGAATCACTTTAAGGTAAATAACACTTCTGCAGATTTTTGTCCTCTGTGATGTTCCTCTGAAGGAAGTGCGTGTATAGTTAAAGTTATTAGAGTGATCTGAAAATGGACCTGTTCCGCCAGCGATCATTCCCACGTGCTTAAACTTCCGAACCTTTGGCTCCGACTTCTTATCTGGTCTGATGGCAAACTGACCTGAGTGGATGACACAAAGTCTCAACCAAAGCAGATCACACAGCGCCTCCTGCTGGTGTCAGCAGGTTAATGTAGAAACTTCTTTTTTCTTTTTTTGGTTCTTTTCATATAAAACACCATCACCACACCATTGCCCTTATACACCAGGAGTCCATTGGGCCCTCTGAAGTCAATAGTGTCTCCAATGGTCATGCCGTCCAGGTACTGCGACATCTTCCCTCCATCAGGGAAAGACGGGTGGGTGTTCTTGTAGTAGACCTGGAGGAGTTTACAGAAGGACATCACATTTTTATTTTCACCTTCTTATGCAGTCTCATTTTCCACAACAGTGCAATAAAAATGACTTCCAGGCTCTCAAATGATCCACTCAGCCGGTAATAATCAAATGTCAAGCTTTAGACATATTGTCTAATATTACTATTGATATGGCCTTTTTCTCTTACTGGAAAAGCTTCCCTATAATCCAGAAAACAGAAAAAAAGAGTATGTAAAACCAATATTCAAAATTTTATTTATGCTTTTGGAGAAAGCATCACAGTCATGTGACAAATGATAAAACCTGTGCGGTACAAAGCATCTCATTGTGCATCAACATTGTGCTTCAGTTTTCTGTATGAATGATATTCTAGTGTTAGCTGTTAGCTTAGCACTCAGTAATTTTATATACATATAAAATTACTCCAGAACATCAGCGTAACTTTGTGCTAGACATTGGGGAGGGTCAAGATCTCTGTCTAAATAAATAACTCTGAGTAAATTCCCAGATGATTAAACATGCAACTGCTTTGCTGGTAATAACTGAAATGAGTAAAGAAAATCAACAGCCTATTTATGCAAGATAATTCACAATTTTATTG